GGGTGAGTGGGGGGGGGGGGGGGAGGGGCGGAGGGAGAAGGTCCGGTGGGTCGAAGATGGTGGAGGTTCGAGTGGAAGGTGAGAGATGATGTTAAAAAGTTGAAATAACGAAAGAGTGTGAAATACATCGAAAGAGAGGGATGGCGGGAGTGGGTGGTGGGAGGAGGGGGAGGAGCAAGTGGAGGAGGTCCTGTGGGCCGAAGATGGTGGAGATGCGAGTGAAAGGTGAGAGAGGATGTTGAAAAGTTTAAATGGCGGTTTGAAAAATTTTGAATGCGGACAGGGAAGAAGGAGAAGAAGGAGAAGGAGAAGGAGACGTTTCTTAATTTTTCATTAAAATCACCACTTTTCGATCGCTTATATCTCCAGAACGGCTTGACCGATTTAAAATTTTTTTTGGCTCAAATTACTTAAGATGATGCCGCCTTTCCGGATATATAACGTTTGATTCAAAATTTTTTATATTTTAGTAGTATGCATCTCCCAAAAATGGACTTTGGTGGCTCGGGATAAGAGACTTGTAGCGTCTCTCAGTTTTTGAACATGGCCGGAGACACTACCGCGTCTCCTGATACTGTTTTAACATATGTAATGACCAAAGAGATTATTTTATACATGGACTTGTTACTTCTTCCTTTTCTGTTATTTTTGACAAGGTAATTTAAACTTTTATATTAACATTTTAAGTTTTTAGAATTTTGTTAATTTATATGTGTATTTTTCTATTATGATAAATTATGCATACGACACCAACTGTTAAGGATTTGTGACCTCAACTGATTAAACTGATTCAAAATTGTTGGAACTCAATTTATTGCGTAAAATATGCTGGTATACAAAAATGCTTGCCCGTTCGTTACAACGTCTTACAATACAATACAATGAGTACGATCGATTCTCTTGTCTCGCGATCGATGCGAGAGCTCGCGCGCTGCGCCCTCTTGTTATCTAGTTCTTTCTGGCACGCTTGACGATTATAGCGCCCTAGGCATCTCAAATCCAACTAGTCTATGAATTTCTATTTGAACCAAAATAAATGCTTACACATTATAAAAATCTGAAAAATAAAATAAATTAGCAAGAGTAGACATTGGGTTTGTTTTCTGTTCCTGCACTGGGATTGCACTAGAACTGTACTGAACTGAACTAGTGCAAGCTAGAACTGACGGGTGTAATAGTGCAGGCAAAGAATAGAAAACGTACTAGTGTAAGAAAAATGGTGTTTTAGTTCTGGCTTTGCTTTATCCCTGAAAAGAAACATATACTAAAAATAGTGTAGTATTTTCCTAGATTTTCATATACGTTTCTTTTCAAGAATAGACCTCCTGATGCAATCTTCTTTCTTTCTTTCTTGTGGGAATAAAATAATATAATAATAATAAAT